CACAGCAACCTCCAACTCCTGGGCTCAAGCGAGTCTCCTGCCTCCGCCTCCCAAGTAGCTGGGACCACAGGCGCCCGCCACAACGCCCGGCTATTTTTTCGTTGCAGCCGTCGTTGTTTGGTGGGTCCGGGCTGGGGATTTGAACCCACCACCTTAGGTGTACATGGCTGGCGCCTTAGCCGGTTGAGCTATAGGCGCCGAGCCCATTTGCTTTTAATGTCTAATGACCATGCCCTGCACTCACCACACAGCAAGGTGCCAGCAGGCTGACTGGGGCTCAGGGCAGGGGAGGGGTTTGTTCCCTGGCAGGCTTGCCTGACCAGGATTGGCTTTTCATTGGGATCCCCTGATTGTCAGTATATGTTAGCTTTATTTTCTTGAGCAGGATTTTTCCCCCAAAGGGAACCCCTTAATTTTCTGCTTAAAAGATAATAACTTGATGCCAGTTTTCTTGGACTTAAATAGGAAAAAGAAGCTGGCCATCTCACTGTTCAGTGTGTAGACTAAGACTTAATCCTCTGCTTTTTGTATAACACCCTGACTTTTGTCTGTGCCTGGTATTCCTGAATTCACAAATCCTGATTCAACAGTTCCAAAAAACAAACCACCAGCGTTCCATAGGGGAGTGGTGATATAGTGACCTGCTCTGGTGAAGAGGGTAACTGTGAGGGTCTTACTGCTTCCTAACACTGACGTTCCACCACTCCGCCGGCTTTAACCCCACCTCACCTGCCTTTGGAAGCACCAAATGCCTCTTATGCACAAGCTTTAAGGTCTTTGATCAGCTGTTTCTGCCCATCTCCCTACCACCTTCTATGGACACTTAGCTTTCATTTTTCTCTATTTAGCTACCAACTGCCTGATTGCTGCTTAATTTCTAATGTTTTGTCCCAGACTGAGCAACATAGTAAGATCTCATCTCTACAAAAAGTGGAGGGGGCAGCACCTGTGGCTTGGTGAGTAAGGCACCAGCCCCATATACCTAGGGTGGCAGATTCGAACCTGGCCCTGGGCAAACTGCAACAAAAAATTAGCCAGGCGTTGTGGTGGGCGCCTGCAGTCCCAGCTATTGGAGAGGCTGAGGCAAGAGAATCCCGTAAGCCAAAGAGCTGGAGGTTGAGGCCACAGCACTCTACCAAGGGCGCCAAAGTGAGACTCTTGTCTCTCTAAAAATAAAAGGGGGGGGGGGCATTAGTCAGATGTGGTGGTATACACTTGTAGTCCCAGCTACTGTGGAGGCTGAGACAGAAGGATCACTTGAGTCCAGGAGTTTCAGATGGCTGTGAGCTATGATGTACCATTACTCTCTAGCCTAGGTGACAGAGTGAGAGCCTGTCTCAAAATATTGTCATCTGCCTGTCAAACTCTTTGGCCTTGAGTTTATACTGTATTTTTTACTTAGGGGGTTTAGGAGCTTGGTTTCTTGAAATGTCTGTTGTGGCTCTGTAGACCAGGAGTGAGGTAGTTGATAGTCTTCAACTGTTGGCAACTTCATTGTATGCCTCAGCTTCTGAGGAGGTCACGTTCTTGTCAGGGAGGCCACAGCTGATGACTGAGCAAGGCTGAGACATGAGGCACTGCTAACCACATCCAACATCAAGGGGTTCCTAGCCCCCTGTTGGGCTGGTGGAGAGGGGTTTATAACGCAACCTGTTGGTTCCCTCTGTCCAAGCTTCATGATTGGCTTCACATCTCACTATCCCCTACATTCTGTTCCTGTGGCTGCTAATGAATTACCAAAAACTGGATGGCTTCAAAAATGGAAATGTATCCTCTCACAGTTTTAGAGGCCAGAAGTCTGAAATCAGTGCCACTTTGCCAAAAGCAAGGTGTGGGCAGGACACCTCCTCACCCCCAGACTCTTGGTAAGCATTTTATCTTTTCCTTTTCCAGCTTCTGTTGGCTGCCAGCATTCCTTGGTTTGTGACACTACTTATACTTCACAAATTTTTATATTCCTGTTTGCTTCTTGTGAAATGGCTAAAAAGCAGGAATACTATATGGAAAGGATAATGGAATTGTAATGGGTCAGTTATGGGGTGTGTGTGAAGCTGACAGAAAACTCAAGCTAGTATGAACATTAAAGCCTAAGTTATAGAATCAAGGATATCTTATAGAACAGATCCAAAGGTAAGAATGTTGCTGGCCTAGGAGGGAACTAAAAGTTGGAGTACTCTGAATTCCCAGAGATTTTTCTCTCAATGCAGAAACCTCACTTTTCTTTTTCAACAGAATAAGGTAACTACTACTTGGCCTCATAGCTCTGAAGTTCTGTTCCATAGAAAGGCTCTTAACTCAATTTTAAAATTCCCAGTGGAGGGAGGGAGGAAATTCTTTATTGGCCTAGCTTCGTTCAGAAGATGCCCTGATGCATCAACTGTGAGCAGGAGAAGCAAATCTCACTGCATAAAACAGGGATCAGTATCCCACAGCTGGGTGAGTATAGTAAGTAAGGGAGTAAATATGAGCTTTAAAAAAGATATCCCAAGAGATGTCTACTGTAGCTGCTTTAATAAGCTGAAAGCCTTAAGACAGAAAAAGTAACTGGCAATTTCCTTTTTCTTTCTAAAATAAACTTATGCTCAATTTTTATGTTTTTCTAAACTAGAGCAAGAATGTTCCTCGGAAGGTACATCTCTAAGCAAGGAGTAGATTACTAGTTATCAACATACCATTTAACCTCTATCAGGTGGGCTATGGGACCACAGCCCACCTTACAGGGTTCTCTGTACTTCGCACATAGTAGCAGAGTATAAACTCAGCAAATGGTAGGTATGATTTTAAATGCTAAATAAAATTTAGGTACTATCAGCCTCTTTTCTTCTTAGAACACTGCTAGAGATTTATTTTTCCTTACAAGGTGGTTTAGCAGATTAACTAGAGTCACAGTCCAGTGAGCTAATTCAATGTTCAGTTCTACAGAATTCTCAGACATAAATCTAATTACTAGTCTACACAGTTAGCTTTATCATTACCCGTAAATGGCATGAAATAAATGACCATGTGAAACCTTCATTATAAAAATAAAATTTACTTAAATTATATTTACACACATAGTGCTCAGAATATTTAATTATATACAAGTTATGTTTCTCAACTAGCAAGTTATACATATAGTATAAATAGTGGTAAGAATTCCTAAAAAGCTCCCATTATAGTTCTTTGGTCCTGTGCCTCATACTTACTTCTTAAAATTGGACTGGATCTTACAATCTATACCTACATTTATTATAGCATGTATTTCCCCCTAAAAAGCTATTGTTAAATCTGAAAAGTATTGTTATCTTAGATTCAGGAACATATACTATTTGAGAAGAATGAAAAGTTTGTATCTTTTTTTTTACCTAAATCTTTTACTCTGGATACTTTATTCCATACATACACTTTGCTCATTCCTAATGATCGTTTTAAATGCTAAACAGCACTATCAGCCTCTTTTCTTCTGGAAAATGGAAACTATGTCGTTTCATTAGACAGGATCCTCTTTTTCATCAGGTATAGATAATTCAAAACATACTACTCCAAGGTAAATAAAAAATAAATGTATTAAGCCCACCCTCCCACGTTTCATAGTCTGTAGCTAAAATACATGTAGCTAAAAAGTAAAAGATCAATGATTTGTCTTTCTACCACATAAGCATTTAAAATAATTTTGTTAGGTGCTGAGTTAAGCAATGGTCTTGGCACCATAGAAAGTGCCAAGCTGTCTTTCGTTATATTTTGATGTATTTGACAAACTGCCTCATGTAATACTAACATGGCTATACTATGACATACAGAGGTGAATAAACAGTGTGAGTAAAAAATAGGGTATTGAACTCTAAGCTGCCTCAAAGGCTAATAATACTGTCCATTTTAGGACTGGGGACAATTTTACTACAGAATGGTAATGGAACTTGACAGAGCAATAAACTGAAGATTATTATCACATATTAAAAATGAATATACTATTAGATAATTCTGAAATTATCACTGGAGTTATGAATAATAAACCCTGAGACGGAAGATATTGGTTCTTACACAGCAGCTGCCAGGGCTTTCTCAGTTGAAGTGCTTTATATAGTACAATAGGTATACAAAAGCCTTTGAGCCATTCTAATATTCCCGCTGCTCTGATAAATGAGAGACAAGTTGTAGGCAATATCTCTTCGTAAGTCTAACTCTTCAACTTCTATACCCTAGGGGGAAAAGATACATAAATGTTTTTATATTTTAAATTGTCAACCAGTATAGTTTCATAGCAAACTAATAATTATAAGTTTTCAAAAGCTATTACAACTCATAATACTAAGAAAAACTTACAGAACTGCAAATACCTTGGATCAATGCTAATTCAGTTAATCATTATAGTAACA